GAAAATGGCATCAGGCTTATTACTGCAAGTAGGTGTACTATATGCCACTTTGGTCAGCACAAAGGAACTGAAGACTGGAAAGTTAAGAATCCAGTGTTAGTTTACTGCTACGTTTGAGGGTCAGGAGTTTAGCAAGAGTTTTGCCTTTTTGCATTAGCAGCAAGTAGATCTGATCTTTATCTTTTATATTTTTTCAGCATATCACATTGTATGCATTTTGATCACAGGAATGGGATATGCTGGTTTATTAGCAGAACCCACAGCCTACATCAACCAGTCACACTTCCTAAAAGATGAGTATTATCCATCTGAACTCAGTGAAGACCTTTAACACAGTACAAGTTCTTAGATTGTTCCTTGCTCTGAGTCTTTGTAGCTCTGACAAAAGGACCTGCCTGTTTACTTTTAGCATTTCATCCTGGACAAGCCAGGGCTGACATGTTTTGTTTGATCCCACTCATGCATATTTTGGGACCCACAGAAACACACTTTTGCTCTTTGCCTTATTCCTAATGACATCATTAGTTAGGGGGCTTTTATTTTTCACGCGTACCTATGACTCCCTCCCTCAACTCTCCTGTTTTTGCTCTTTTGCCCCTCCTCCTATCATGCAGTCTGTCCTCCTGATACACCTACCCACATGCTTTACACCCACTGCTCGCTTCTTTTAGTCCTGCTCTGTCATTTATTGGTGTCTCTGGAGGAACTGCTAGTCTTTTTCTCTGCTCAGGTCTCATCAATGTCTTCCCCCCCCCAAAAAAAAGAAAAAAAATTAAAAGGAAAAAGAAAAAAGAGATAGAATGTACTTTTCTTTTCCCTTGCAGAAGGCTCATTTCCCTTTCCTGCTCTAAATGCAGGAGTTTTACAAGCTCTCTGTTCCTTTAACCTATGCTGTCCTGCTCATGCCCTCTTGATCTTTCACTTGTACTGAGTCTCAGCTTCAGAGGAGCATCCTACCTCTACATGTGCCACATGCTCTCCTTGCTCCTGACCAACACCTCAGTCTAGACTGAGCCCATCTGGAAGGCTACTGCAGGGAAAATTTTCCACAGCTTGCTTTATCCCTCCATTTCTTCTCCTTAGTTTCTTCCAGTGAAATTCAACTACTCCATTCACCTGCAAGGCTCTCTGTGGCTTGTCCCACCTGGCTTGTCCCCTCCTGTCAGTATGAGAGTGCACCACTGATGAGCCACCAGCTTGTTGTCAACCACTTAATAAATTTCATTTTCACACACTTTCTTTTTTTTTGCTGCCTTTTAGGAGAATTTTCCACCAAATAATGCAATTTTTTTCTCATTATTCTGCTCCATAGCCCTTTTTAGGGATTTTCTATCATGCCTACAAAAAAGCTGACAATGGTCAAACAGGAGGTGCAGTGAAACTGCAAACTAGTATTCCCTTTCTGTTTTCCTGTCTTTCCCCTTTTTTCTGTCCGTATGGGTAGGCTGGCTTGTTTTGTGTTTTGAAGGTTAGTTCTTTTGGACAGGAACTGCTGTTTTGCTTTGCAATCATACTGTCCTCAGCACTCTTGGGGGCTTTTAAGTGATATAATGTTAGAAACATATTTGAGCATGTGGGTCTAAAGCACAAATAGACAGTCCAGTGAAGAAATTCCTATGAGTGTACACTGTTAGTCACTACTCCCATCTCTCTGCAAGGGCATGAGACTATCTAATGTCACCTGTGCTATGCTAACATTAAGGATTTTAGGAGTCCCCTATTCTAATTATTATTAATCCTTGAGAGAAGCAGGGAATATTAATGCTATTCTACCATTCTATGTGCTTAAATACATACACAGACCACCTTTCTGTAATATTTGATTACCTTGCAATATTTAATGGAATTATCCTGGCAACAACTTTCTGAAATACTTAAGAAGCATTGTTTGTATAGTACAGACAATAATTGGCATGAATTAAGCACCCTGCCAAAGGTCATATTGTAAGTCTGCAACAGAGCAGAGATTTTGAAGCTGGCATTCTAACTGCATAGATGTATTATTGCGTCTTAATAGCACAGTTATGCTTCATGATGTTTTAAATCAATCTGACAGCATCGGAGCTTGAAAGGTATTATGCATGATGCAGACTTTGCAGAATCGCAAATAGTATACATTTACCGTAACTAGCCTGGATGGATAATTACATATTACAAATTTTAGACCATGAAATAATAATTTTAATGATTGCATGAAGCATATACTCAAGTATAAATACAGGAAGGAACAAAAAGGAATTAAGACTAATATACAGCACATAAAAGTCAGTGGACAGGATCACTATGAAAATGGTCAATACTTTTACGTAACAGTTTACTTATGGTCTTATTTATTTGGTATGTAAGTTACCATCAATAATGTAGATACAATACATAATAAATGCTTTTTCCCCACTCATTTTACTGGAATAATATTACACAGTTCATCTTTTCGAGGGCTTTATAACTAAAAACCAAATTGGCTAAGGTGATGCCTTCACATTAGTCTTATTCCCATAACTCGGGCACTTAGTTCCACTAAAATCAATAGACTTGTAAGTGTGTAAGTGAGGAGTAAAAGGCAAGCATAATAAATACTTTTAATCCTGCGTTGGCAAATAGATATGTAATTCTGTCACACTTATCTCTAAGGCTGATCTTTTATTTGCATATTTTCAAAGTTTTGATCTACAAATGGATTTTAATTTGTCGACTTTTGCAAGAACAGTCTTGTGGGAGTGGGGGCAGGTCATGCATAATCAAAGAGTAAAACACAGGCAGAAGGAAGGTGTAGAGAATCTGAGCTCCATTTCTGTATGAAATACAATTACCATTATTATAATTTCTTTGTAGCACACAAAGGTCTTACTGTACTGGCTGACATCCATATTTAGAGGCTTTTTGAGAGATCCAAGAGATCCGTATCTATGCAAATGGTACTGTGTCTTATAAACTGAACATGAAAAATTTAGGCATGCTTTCCTCTCTACAGCACTTGGGAAGAGGCACAGAGAGAAGAGATCACTTTCCCAAGACATTGTGGTAGACCTGGAAGTAGAACCCACTGACCTGAACCACAGCTCAGGGCCTGAACTGAAAAGGTTTCCACTTTCTGTTATAAGACATATAAGTTCGATAAAAAGTGCAAATGAAGAAAATTGTATATAGGATCCGTAGCTAGAATTAGACATTGATGAGTGTGGGTGCCTGTGAAACTGTGAGCTTGTGACTCTTTTTTAGCTGTGTGACCAAAAAGCTGGGATGTATATACTATTTATACATAGAGCCAACAACCACCTTAAGCACTGACATTACATGCCAAGGTTAGCAGGGGTATATACCCTGCACTGTGTCCCTCCCAGGCACTGCCCTCCCCATGGTGGAGTGGCTGCTATACCTCCTATCGTTTAGGGGTGGGAACTTTCATTCAGCCTCTGCTCTGTAAACATTATACAGAATGCAACTCAGATTTCACAAACCAGTAGCAAATCAAATCTCCATTAGTACCACTGACCTCATTCTTTACCTGGAACAATTCTCTCCAGAGATCGGTAATTTAAGTATATCTATCCTTGATAACCCAGTAGTCCTGCAAATGAAATAGCTTCTCTGATGTAAGCAGCAAGAATCAATAACCATTAAGCACATAAGGACGCTTTAATGTATGAATCTTTTGGGCATCCAAGTCATGCCATCACCAGACCAGTTCATTTTGGTAATATATAGGCACCAAGGACAGGCAGAGTTGTGGTCCTTGCAGAGCACATTGGATGGTCCAGGTGCTCAATATGTCATAGCTCTGTAAATGGGACTTCCCTGGGAGAGAAGAGTCGAGTGGAGAATTTTGCCCAGTATGTGAGCCCAGGCTGCACTGAGGGTTAGCTTTGTGCAACAAAACAAATGAATTAACTGTGGCCGAAATGATGTATTTTTTCTCCATGTATCAGCACAGCATTAAATAAATTACTGTTGCCATCAAAGTGCAATGAAGCTAAGATCTCACCTTTACAGATTCAGCTATGATATTCACCAAGAATTGGGGAGGGCAGGAAAGGAGGGAGTTGTTGCATAGAAATACTTTCCCCACATGTTTTCCTAGACCCCAGGGTTTCACACAAAGCAGAACAAATCACACCTTTAGCAGTTCTGTTCAGTTCCATGCAGCTGCGTGCTGCAGGTGATGCCCTAAAAAGGTTTGTTTATTTTGCGGCACTGTAGGCTGCAAAGCTGCACTTAAGAATGAAATAGATTCCCCTCCCTTGCATTCTCCCTTCTTCACTGAACCCCTCTCTCTTTTTAACTTGCTGGAAGTTGGTAAGACGTAGAGATAAATTAATAGCAATGTGGCTTAGTCTCAAAAGAACCAAATGGGAGCACAGAGTAAAAACTGAGAAACATGTCCAGGTCCCTCTGCAGGGCCATCCTACCCTCCAGCAGATCGACACTCCCACCCAGTTTGGTGTCATCTGCAAACTTACTGAGGGTGCACTCAATCCCCTCATCCAGATCATCAATAAAGATATTAAACAAGGCTGGTCCCAAAACTGAGCCCTGGGGAACACCGCTCGTGACCGGCCGCCTACTGGACTTAACTCCATTTACCACTACTCTCTGGGCTCGGCCACCCAACCAGTTTTTTACCCAGTGAAGACTACTCCCGTCCAAGCCATGAGCTGCCAGCTTCCCAAGGAGAATGCTATGGGAGACTGTGTCAAAGGCTTTGCTGAAGTCCAGGTATGTCAAAATGTTCTGTAGCATGGTCAATGGTCAAAATGAAGGTCAGGAAAACAGAAAGCGTCATGTTGGCAGTTCTCACAGCAATAAACAAGCATGTATGTTGGAGCTTTTCATGTACAGGTGTCTTAAACTAGCTGCAAGACAACAGAGTTTCATAACAAAACTAACACTTAGAGCCAGGGTTTGTGAATGAATGCCACAATACTCCACGATTTTGGTAATGATGTTTTGCAAGAATAAATCTAGAAAAGGTGGTAGAAGTGAAGCTATCTGTAAACACTTACTGCAAGGAAGATCTGAAGAGAACTGTGAGCCACTTCTATGTACTGATATTCAAGAAAACAGCCCGAGACAGTGATGTAACGATGATCCTCTGGTGCCCAGTCTGGGGCTGGGGTTACTGAGGTCACGGTGCAGCCCGGCCCATTCTCCATCCACCAAGAGCGATGCATTGAGATATTAAAGGTCAGAATGAGATCTGTTTCCTGCAAAAGAACAAGTGAAGAATTAATGTGCTGGGTTGGTACTTGGGTATCAAATGCCTCAGCAAGAGATTTCACAGGATGCGTAAAGAAGAAAAGAGCAGGGACAAAACTGCACTGTCACATGAAAGTTAGTGGAGCTTGCCTGCAGCAAGCACAAGTAGCTTTACCTTGGCAGGCAGAATTGCTTTGGAGAAAAATAATCCTGCAAGCCAGGATCTGTTCCTAGACATTATGGTAGCCTGGGCTATAGCAGTCATTTCTGTTACATTGCCCATTTTCCTGCGGAAACCACAAGGACTGATGGATGTGCACATTTACCCAGCAACCCTCCTCTACTCAGTTCTGAGAAATACGGCCCATATTTTGGTGGTCTGATGTACCAAACTATACAAGAGTTGTCAGGAACCAAGACCTCACAGACTTTAATATGTGTGTGTCATCTGCAAGGAGTTTTGTCTCATGGACTCTGTGAAGCAGGCCTATGCTAGCTCTACTGAAATATTAGAGAAGATGTAAAAAAGGCTTCTGTACATTTCCTTACAAGCAAAACCTCTTTGTAATGCCTCTCTCAGATTTCTGACTTCCTAGGAGTCTGTAAGGAAACAGCTAGTGAGTGTTGCCTTGTCTAAAGACTGCTTAGCTTGTTAAAAAGGAGGGGCAGAGGACTGCAACCTTTAACTCTGATGTAGCTAGTGCAATGGAGTAACTAGTCAGCCATGCTTTCCATTAAGATTTCATTTATAAATAGTTCATAAAGTATTAATAAATGATTAATATACATCATAAACAATACTACAGATATGACTTTCATAAATTATACTTGGTTGCACATTACTTGAGGGTGTTATACATAGCTATAACAAAACTATGGACTTTGTGGATTCTGTAATAGCCTACAGTGTTTACCAACCCTTTATAAATAATTTATAAGTGTAACCTCATTGTAAAGTGTGACTATCTAGTCTGTGTGCACATGTGCTCAGTCATGCAAAAAAAATTGCTTTTAAGTAATGTCTTTGCAGAGCCAAACTCTCCCCACACCTAACCTACATTTTTTTCAGCTTGTTGATGACATTAATAATTAAGATTCTCATAAAGATTTTAAAATGTAACTATTTAATTAGGTTTCCCTTGCCAAAAGGAATAGAATGCCATTCTGTAGCAGGTATGTTGTGTCCACATTTCCCTCCCTTCAACAATAGTCATTTTTTCAGTCCCACTTATTTTCCCTTTATGCACTAACTCATGCAAAAATAACTCCATCCAGAGAGTTTTTGGATAATGTCATGGCTGACACGTCAATCGATTTGTGATTACACTTGACACTGTAGTGTAGCTGAATGTTTTTTCTTTAAGTTGCAGTTCTTGTCTAAAAGTGCAGAATTTTGCACATTTTAAAAAAATCAATTTCTACCCTGCATAAGCACACCCAGCTATCAGATGACAGGAGGGATCATAAATATTTTTTCGATGAATAATTACCCTACATTGTCACAACAACCCAATCCAGCAAATAAGCTGTATGAGAAAATGTATGCTACTTTACATGAATTTAGTCATGCAACTAATTTTAAGGATTTGAAAGTGATCAAAGCAACAGTGCACATTTGTATGAACTATGCAAATTTCCCCCAAATAGATATATTTACCTACAGCTATAAGTCTTCACCCCTGACAAACCTCTCCTTTCTCCAGACCCCTCCCTGCCAAAGCTGCAGACACTGGAAAGGGTCTGACAGATGTTTCTTGGAAATGGGCATTTTTACCTTGCATCTAATCCAGAAGACTATTTTTATTTCTGGAGTCAGGGCTGTTATGGCCCCTCAGTAGCACACTGGCCTTCTCACTTGGTGTAAGAAGTTGAAGAATGGGTATCTGTGGAGTAACTTTGCTTGAAGTAACAGATTTATTCCTGAATGACTAAAATTGGAATCCATCATGTTATTGTCAGAAAACCTTTAAGCTATTCTAGTTACCATGGAAAATGCTTAACCTCTAGTTAGTGCTAGTCTCTTATCAGAGATGCAACATGAATGAATAGGACTCATTGTCTGGATCTATTTTATCATTTGCAATACGTTCAGAAGAATCGTGATGGACTAAAAATATTTTACAAAGTGCAGACAAGGGATGAAAAATGTATTCCTTGAGAAAGAAAGGGATAAACTGGCTTGCAGGAGATGAGTATTTGTTATGCATCTGCCAGAAGAAGTTAAAATGGATCAGGAGGAGCTAAACATAAAAATCAAATCTGGGCTCTGTGGTTAGAACATCATTGCTCTAAAGACAGTTGTTTGCTTACAAAGGGTGCAGTAATTCAAAACTTTACAGGTTAAAAGCACAAGCAAATTTCCAAGTTACACAGGAAATAAAATCACACATTAAAATATTTATAATTACATATGTAAATAAAACTTTACAAAGTCAATCTTTCTTCCATCCCTGCATTTATCCCCAGATGATTTTCTGAAATAATTTGTTATATTTAGAAAATTCCCTTGCCTTCAAATCATCTTTTGGCAGTTAAGTTGAATGCTGTGACTAGGACTAAATAAACTTGTTTTGTTCAGGAATAGTCTTTTAGTGCTTACCAGTAAAAAATTACAGATCTTTTATCAGATCTATATTCTATTTCTATCTCTGAGTAATCAGTAAAATGCTGTGTTGTTTCCTCTGCCCATAAAATAGACCTGATATCTGTCACAGAAATGTTATAATCCTTAATTCTTTATCATAGTAAACCCAAATAAATCCTACTGAAAACCCCAACTTCAAATCTTAAAGAACTTTGAATAACGTGGTTGGGAAGGCTTTCAGGGAGTGTAGCTGTTGTGTATTGAACCAGTTTACAAACAAGGTCAGGTTCAGAAAGCAAAACAATAAGCAGATGTGAAATCCTGTTCTGGTAGGATTAGACATCATCCATGGCTCAGGTCAAACTTGGCTGGAATAAGAATGATAATGAAATCAGATTGTGACAAGCCAACTTGTAAGTTAGACCATGTAAATTCCTATCCCCAAAATATGTGGGATAAGAATAAATACAGAAGGAGCCTTATCACTACAAACTGAGCTGCTCCACAGTTAAATCTTCTCAAGTATAAATTGTTATGGGCTTTGAACTTGCCTATAACCTTCAATCCATGTCCCCCTATGTGCAACCATATTAGCAGAGTAGTTCCTATTGCTTAGTAGTGAAGGTCACCCAGCTTATGAAAAAGTTTTACTTCTTAGTGAGAAAACTGTTGAGGACTTAAATCTCCTTGTAGAACTGTGTAAGCCAAGGAGGGGATGATGTATCTATCATTGACATTGCTTATACTGAAAACATTTAGAGCTATTTTTGGACAAACTCCACTTGCTATTTACTTTGTTCACTGTTTGAATACAGTTTTAGTGGACATAGACAAAGTCTACGCTGGAAGCTGGGGATTTGTTGTACTCTCCAGTGTATTTGCCGTCTGTTTTCTTTCCAACATCTGTGGCTCAAACATTGTTCAGGGAAATGCAGAGAAACGGTGTCTGATAAACCTTGAAGCTATGAAACCTAACAAGAACTGTTGATACACATTGGGCATGCCGATATGGTATTGTTCACAGTCTGTATGTCAAGGAAGATTTCATTATCCTAAATTCAACAAACAGCTGCTTCCTTCATAGACACAGAAATACATCTGTATGAGCTTTATTGATGATCACTTGCTGCTTTTCTAAATCCTGCTGATATTTGTAAAGCCTGTTAATGGAAACTGGTGCATTAAAGTAGATTTTGCTATTCATCAAGGAGGAAAAAAACAGAGGAAAATATTTAGTAGGACATCTTTGCTGACATTCTTAAGATGTGCTGGCATTTGTAGTGGCCAGGAGAAGTGCTGCTGGGTTAGACAAAGGCTAGAGTTTGGAGGTCTCAGAGACTCAGATCTCAGAGATTAGAAGCTAAGACATCTTCAAATTAAGTCTGTAATTTTAGTTCATCTTAGTTTGTAAAAAATGTTGAGCTCTGATGGTTTTGTGCCCGTGTTTAATACGGTAGATAACAACTTTTGCTGGGGTTAACTGCATAGTGCATAACATTTTCTGGCTGAGGACAGCTGATGACAGAACACGGCAGCAGAAAGCTTTGTAAGATCTGCCAGAAATGAATACGACCTTCTTTGCATTAAGTAGCAGCAGGACGACAACAGCGCTCAAAATGAAGACAGCTCTGTGTGCATTGTATTACTACTAGTACATATTAGTAAGTATATTATCTTTATGTAGTAATTACAATATGTTACTGTTCCAATTATTTTTGTTAGGTGCAGCTTAGAGAACCTGATCCCAAACAGAGTGCTAAGAGAAAAAAGAGGCAGCAGTGATTCAGGGTCATTCTCACTGAAAGTCCAGGAGATATCGCAGACTCAGGGAAATTAAATTGTACTAACTTCAATGGTTATGACTTGCTGTGTCATGGGAAATCAGTTTCTTGTATTTTTCTAATTAGGAATTGCTGAAATCTGTGCAAACCTGCCAAGCTTCTGTACAAGTTTTGTCAAATATAACCATGTCACCACTTGTTTCATTTTTCAAACTCAAACTAGCAAGAACAGGCTGCTTGGAGACTGAACAATCACACAAGGTTTTGGTGATAAAAGATCACGGTCTGAAAGCATTTGTAGTTCCGGATGCCTTGTATGCACAGAGGCCTTTACAGGCATTTTTTTTTCTTCTGTTATCTCACTTTTCCACTAAAACTAGCTCCCATCAGGCAGTAGCATTTTCTCATGCAAGCAGACCTTTTCCCATCTAAAGAAAAAAACCTGCCCTCACTGAAGGATCAAAATAGAGCTTGGCAGCTGTGTTTCCTTTCCTTTTCTTTTCTTTTTTTTTTTTTTTTCCCTTTTGCTTTTTAATCAATAGTTGATATACAGGAAATTATTATTGTATAATTTTGTAGGGATCATAGATACCTAATGTTTCTAATCTTTTATATCCTGTTGTACCTGAACTGATTTTTA